TCCCCTATCCCCAGGTCTTCCCCTACTCGCTGCTGGTGGTGGCGGTGCTCATGTACATGCCTTACCTGCTGTGGCGTTACGCGGCCGCCCCCGCCCTCCACTCCGACCTCCTCTTCATCATTGACGAGCTGGACAAATCCTACAACCGCTCCGTGCGCCTGGTGCAGCACATGAGGAAGGTCCAGCAGGCCAGCGCCGAGCCGGAGCGATTCTGGGAGGAATATGAGAGGTGAGGCCGCTGGGCAGCCTCGACTGGTCACCGTGTCCCTCCGAAGTCCCTCCACGTGCCGCCGTGGCTGCGGCCACGTTCAGGACGGGCTTCGGTGAAGCGACTCGGTTTTGGGGGGTGGCTCTAAGTCCCCGGTGTGTCCCCTCTGCCCCCAGGGCCCGCCGGGAGAGGTATTTTGAGTTCCCGTTGCTGGAGCGCTACCTCACCTGCAAGCAGCACGCCCACTCCCTGGTGTTCATCTACGTCCTGAGGAGCCTGCTCCTGCTCTTCTTCATGGCTGCCACCTGCCTCTACCTGGTCTTCCTCCACCTCAACATCTTCTTCCAGGATGAGTTCAGCTGCTCCATCAAAACGGGGCTGCTCCAGGCGGAGCCCCACATCCCCCCGCTCATCCCCTGCAAGCTGGTCTTCTTCTCCGTCTTCCAGCTCATCAGCCTCTCGGTCGGCGGCGTCTACGTCCTCCTCATACCCGTCGTCATCTACAACGCCCTGCAGCTCTGCCAGTGGGACAAGGGGCTGCTCTCCGTCTACGAGATGCTGCCCGCCTTCGACCTCCTCAGCCGCAAGATGCTCACCTGCCCCGTCAACGACCTCAACGTCATCCTCCTCTTCCTCCGGGCCAACATCTCCGAGCTGACCTCCTTCAGCCGCCTCAACGCCGTGAGCGCCTTGAGGGAAGCCACCGCCAACAAGCAGGACATCGATACCGTCGTCGACTTCATGACGCTGCTGGCCGGGCTGGAGACCACCAAGCCCAAACACCACGCTTGCGCCCTGGAGCCCGACGGCAGCGCGCCCCTCTCCAACGGCGGGGCTCTAGGTAGGCTTTTTCGGTAGAGAAGACTTCTTTGCTCTTCTCTTGGCTCCTGCGTCGCCAGATCCCACCCTGGGATCCGTCCACAGTGGCCCTAAACCCTTTGCCGAGGCCTTAAGGTTTTTGGGGGAGAGTCGGGGGGGGGCTGCCGGGGATCG